ATTATGTAAATAAAACCACTTGGAAGATTATCAACCCGGAAGTAGGAAATAAAGCAAAGGATATACAAAACATAATTTTAAAATCAAATGACATTTTTAGCGAATTTCCCATATAGGGCATATAAGCTATTACCGTAGTACTCATGGTAAGATCTGGACCCGGGACCAATTTTTTTTCGTTTTGAGGTCCCTAGAGGCCAAAAACACCATCCGTTCAAATTCATATACAGTATATATATATGTGTGTCCGTTAGCGCGATAACTCAAGCAAAAATGATCCGATTTTGATGAAATTTGGTACAAAAGTGTAAACCTACATTTATTCAAACGAGTTCGCGAACCAGCATGATCGGACCATGGGAACGGGGGTTTATGGGGGATTTTATGGGGTAAAAATGGGTTTTTCCCATTTTTGGCCCAAAAAACAAAAAAATTTGCAATTTCTTTCCCAACTGTTTTGTAGAGCTTAAAAGAAAATCATATAGTATATTGAAGCGTTATAATGCGCCTAATGGTTACGGAGAAAATTCCAAAAAATTGTAAATTTAAAATTCCCATGTTATTCTTATGGGGAATAAGACACTGTTGTAGTTTGCTTGTTTATTAACATATTTTGGCCAAATTTGGAAAATGTTTTTATTTCTTACTAACTCTTAACATTTAACATAAAAAAACACTTTTACCCTCCCTGTTGCAGCAAACCTAAGTATGTGTTAAACTGATTCTATTTAAATAGGGAATAAATGTAATATTTTTAAGGAGACATTTTAGTGTAAATCCAATCAGGCAAATGGAAATTCGCTTAGTCTGCAGGTTTGCTGCGGCGGGGGTATTATGTTCTGAGCCTTCTTTGGTTTGTAACCAATTTAATAACTATTCGGCAGATTTAATTGAGGACACTTTAATATGCAGTATGGAGCAAACTCAAGTTGAGACGGAAAATAGTTTAGAAAATGATTTCTTGTTAATTAGTACTGAAAGTTTTAAATTTAGCTTTTCTTGATTAGAAAGAAATCAATTAAATTTAAAACTCCCTAAAAAATTCTTTTAGTACGGGATAGATGGTATTTCTAAGAAGAAAGCAAGATTCGTATTACCTAAGTCGGTCACGCACATCATTAACTCTTCATTAATTTCTGGTATTTTTCCTGACAAACTTAAAGTAGCAAAATTAAAACCGCTTAAAAAAAGGGGACAAGTACTTCGTTTCCAACTACAGACCAATAGCATTGCTGCCCACTATTTGTAAAATTTATGAAAAAGTTATCTTTGATCAACTAGTACAATTTTTTTTTAAGAATTACCTTTTTGATGAATGCCAACATGGATTCCGCAGTGGTAGATCTGAAATAACAGCTGCCACACATTTTTTTGAATCTATTATTGATAGTTTGGGCAGTAAATTAAAAGTGGTATGATTATTTATGGATTTGATTTAAGTAAAGTCTTTGATTCAATATCACATGACCTTTTACTTTCAAAGCTTAGCAAATTAGGAATAAAGAACAATACATTAAAGCATAGATTAAACAGAGTATGTTTAATCTATGATTACAGTTACTGAAGACTTACCTTTTGAGCCGTGACTTGTCCACCAAGCGTCCCACCAATGTCACGCCTCAGTTTTTTTTATAGTGCGAGTGCTGGCCTTGCGCCGGAACTCAATCGGTTTGGGTCTGGCAGCAGACCTGCAGACTCTGGGGCATTTTCCGCTGTCAAGCACTTTTTCAGCAGAAGACGTGTGGCTACGATACATGCATGACTGTCAAGATTTGTGTTTGAGGTTATGAGAGTTTTAATCTTTAAAAATCCTTCAGTTTTTTCTACTGTGTCTCTTACAAACCTAATCGTCAGTAACATGTAATTAGTTTGTGCCAGGACGTCAGATGAGGTCCCGGATGGGAGGCTTGTTTCGGCTGCTGTCTTCGGAGAGAGTCGCCCGGGGGAACATACCATCCTCTTCCTCCTCGGGCTGCCAATGGCCCAGCTCCTCCGGGGACCATTAGGCCACCATCCGCAATATACCACCACCGCCTGCCACCAACAAGGACTACTGTGTATTGTGCCGCCAAGAACCGCAAGTGTTTTGGACTGATTAAGATTTTTAAAGATTTCTATTTAAAAAGGGGGCCCCTAAATTATTTATTATCTGTTATTTATTTATAGTAATTTATTAGATTGTTGATTTATTTAAAGTTTAAAACTGATCAGTTACCATCCTTTAATTGTTAGGCCTAACTTTTTCCCAGTTACCAAAAGTATTATGTAAGTTCAGAGGGGTAGATATAAATTCATTTGCTTTAAAAATTTTTGAGAAAGATTATTTAAAAGAAATTCTTTGGATGGATGGAATTTGTTGTTTGTTGTTATTGTTGATTTTGATAAATATATAGGCTTTTGTTCACTATTTGTTTTGTTTTTGATATTCACCCACGGCCTTTCACTTTTGCTAGGGATGTGGGGCGGCCACTCGCACCGTCACTATGGGGGGCACGCTTCCAATAGTTGTTCGTCTGGGGGCGGTGCTAGGGGTCGGCCCACTTTCCAACAGAAAAAAGTTTGAACAAATAATTCACCAAAACAACAAAAACTATAAAATTCATTATCGATCCTCTTTTAGAGATGTGAAATTTGGAGTACCTCATGGATCGATCATAGGCCCTTTATCCCTATTTGTTAATTTCCCCAACTCAGTGACTTGAGTGAACTTTGTCTATATGCAGATGATACTAATTTGAAATTCACTGCAAAATCAAACGTTGAAATTGATCTTCAGGCAAATTTTAATATAGCAGTGTTAAATCATTTTAGCGAATTTCCCATAATAGGGAATAAGCTATTACCGTTTTACCGTCAAATTTTATGTTTGTAGAACCATTTTTGACTCTACAAACATAACATTTCACAATTGCTTTCCATACCATTTTGTAGAGCTTAAAAAAAGAAATAATTTTGTATATTGAAGCGTTGTTGTATGCCTTACGGTTACAAAGATAATTAAAAAAACTTTAAATTTAAAATTCACATGTTATTTTTATGGATAATAAATAAACTGTTGTAGTTTGCTTGTATATATTTTGATCAAATTCGGCAATTTTGTTTATTTCCATACTAAGCTATCAACATTTCAATAATACCTTCCCTGTAGCAGCAAACCTAGGTACTCATTAAAATTAATGTTATTTAAAAAGGAAATAAATCTGACAATTTCCAGGGAACATTTTAGTAGAAATCCAGCCAGGTAAATGGAAATTCGCTTAGTCAGCAGGTTTGCTGCGGCGAGGGTATTTTTTTATTCTAATAATTTGCTTCTTAATCCAGAAAGACAAATGTTATTAGTTTTCAAACTCAAGAATCAGGGGATCAAAATCAACCGATCTCAATCATCAAACTTAAAAACACAGAAATTCTTAGTAAGGACAACATTAAATTCTTGGGATTGGAAATTGATAAAACTGTAAAATGGAACTGCAACATTGAAAAGTTACTTGCCAAAATCACATCAGGATTATATGCTTTCCTAGATTGAATCCTTAATGTGAAAAACAAACTCTAAAAGTTAATTATTTTTAGATTTTTTGTATTTTATATTTATTTTATATCCACTCAAGTATATCATTATTATGCACTTTATGCAATTGTAAACTAGTGATTACAATTTGAATTCTATTCTAAAAAAAACAAATGAAAGCTATTAAAATTATCTGCAATTTAGGTTCTGGAACTTCTGTTAATAAAGAACATTTAAAATCAGAATAGAAAATATAATGACAATTTACGGAATGTAAGTTTTCGAAACAATTTTATCAGTAAAGGACAGACTTCATGATTTGGAACGAGTTGGGGTTTGTCATAATTATTCCATCAGAAAACGGGAAATCCTTGCAATTAGCCACCATAGTCTGAAACTTTTTGAGAAAAAACCCATGTATGCGGGATCAAAATATTATAACCTCCCAATCAAAATTAAATCAGAGACTTCCAAACAATAATATTTAAAAATAAATTTTAAAATTTCTCATCAGCAAGGCTATTTTTTTCTTTTGAAGAGTTGAATAGTCTTTGAGGTTAAAAATAAATTCAACATATGTACGTTTTGTTTACAATTGTATTCATTTTGTTTGGCTTTGTCTTATTATAAAAAAATAAGTTTTCCTACAGTTACCTAACAATGTACATGTTCTCTCACTGATTTGAGAAAGCAAAGTGGCCAATTCGCTCATCAGTGAGACAATGTTATCTTTGTCTCACTCTAATTACTTTGTCTCACTCCAGATTTGCAACGTGAAGGCACGAAATAGTGAGCGCCTAACATGCAGGCAACGTCGTATGCGCGCGAAATACGTTGGCAGCACTGGCTGTAAATCAGCTGGTCAGCTGTTGTATTTGTCACTTCACATTAAATGTTATTTTAAAACATCACTTCTGTGTAAAAATAGGTTATGTTTCTTCACCAATTTATATGGTAACTGTAGGAAAAGTATAATGTGCAACTCGAGTTCAAAGTACAATTGCCTCACTCGAGAAACCATTCCAATTCCAATGGAGAAATCCATGGTAAGGATTTCTCTCGAGTGAGTCAATTGCTCACTTTTCTCACTAGTTGCACAAATAACTATTGTAAAATTTTGTTTTTATTTTGTTATGTAAGAAATGTATTTAATAACTGTTACTTGCAACTGTTGACACTATTCAATGTATTTCTGTGTACAAGAGATGAATGATGTAGTTTTGAATTGAATTGAATACTGACCAATTTACTGCCTTCAGTCTATCAGTGTTGTTAAATTATTATGGATCGGTCTATTTTGATCACCCTTCCCTTTGATATATGTGTCTATCAGTAGCAAACTTGTTAAATAAAACATTTTGAAACTTTTTACCTATGCTTACTTCCAAAGAAAGTTTTTTTTTCATAATACAGTACAACCTATAATTTGAAAAGAATAAAAAAATCATAAATAAAGAACAGGCATTGTAAAAGTAATTATACACAAAAGTAACAAAACATCTTTATTTAAAGAAATAAAATCATCCAAAAAATGAATGTTTAAGCTTAACTCTAGTAAAATAATTCTTGTACCAAAGATAAAATGTATATTATACTAAGGGTTTTTTCATACATCTAACGAGTTTACTTTTATCAAAATAGTTTTCCTATTTTATAACATTTATGTCTTATACATACAACAGAGCTAAGTGAATAGTTACAAGAAAATACATCATCTACATGTTACATCTCTTGTCTTGATTATTTCAGGTGTATAGCCTCAGTAACACTAAACATTAACCAGAGTTATAATTACAAAATAAATCAAAACTGTAACTTATCAAATCATAATACAGTATAGCACTGGAACACAAAAATTCTTACTGTGTAACAAAGAGTACAAATGTCATGTGCATATGTCTTTACAAAGTTGTTTGGAAGTTCTTAAGCACAATCATTGAAAAACTCTTGTTAATTTTTGGGTAAAAGAACAAAACTCGTAAATGGTTCCTTCTTAGTATAAAAAGGAGCTAAGAAATATTTCCCTTACATCACAGTTAAACAGTCAGTTTCAAATTTCTGCAAGTAATTTTACTACAATATGTGTTGTTAGCGCATCAATTACATCTGTAAAGCAAAGGTTAACTGTCGTAGGATTTTGATATTAGTAATACAATTTTAATATCAGACCACAAGATATTTGCCTTGAAAAGGAATGAACAATAAGATTATTCACATTTAGACAATATTTAAAGAGGACACGTTGAGGGTGAAATGCACAGTCCTTTACAAATAATCCAATAACACAGCCAGAATGGAGATGTTGTCTAGAAGCTTTTAGTTAGAGAGCCTGAGTTCCATAGAGGGACTATTGACAGGCCTCAGTTCTGATGGAGGTTGGACATCAAGTTGTAGGCCGTGTTCAATGGCACGGCCACGGAGCCACTTAACGAGCTGTTGATGATGCCCAGAAAAGGTGTGGTCATGCAACTGTTTCCAATACGGGTAGTCTACATCGCACAAGTGACACACCAACTCCTTGGGTGCAAGATTCCTGTAACAACCAGTCACATTGAGGGAACACACATAAGGCAATACAATTGGTTGGATATTAAACGTCAAATACAAACAGTTAACATACTTTTTTAAAACAATACCTTTTCTTTTTGTAGCCTGAGTTATTTTATGAATTACTAATGACTACATTATTTTACTTACTTTTGCGCGCAGTTCATGAGATTCTTTACTTTCTTAACTAGTTCCTCTATGTACTTCTTATCTCGACTGGAATCAAGGTCTATAGCGCTGATCAGTTGGTAGATTTTGTTGAGGAACAAATGCTCGTCTTCTTTGAAGGGAGGGACCAGATCCTCTTGATTTACAAATCTCCATCTATGAGCATTTTGGAAGTGTTCGACTTTGATCGGTTGACGATAAGTTGAGATCAATCTGTAAAGTGATCACACATGATTTTACTATGAACCCCATGATTTATTATTTATAAGTATTTAGTCAAACTGGTACATGTTAATTTTAATTTGACTATCCCACAGGACTTGGCACAAAGTGGTAACAAATACACATATCTAGAATAGCTAAGACTAGGTTTGAGATTAGTTATTTGAACTTGGCCTCATATAACTGTTCAATATGGAATTTACTTTTGGACTACCAATTGAAACTAATGTTGAAACTAAGTAATGAAACCAAAATTAACTTAGGTTCAACATTATAGTAAATTTATTTCAGTTATTAATTTCTTTACCCGTTCTACTGCTTTTTATCATGCAAAAAGGTTTCTGCATCCTGAAGTTTAATCAACGTTTTATATTGCACATCTCAATGATTGATATTTGAAGGTAAATAGCCAATCCACAACAGGGAGAAACAACATGAGATCCAAGTTATTAGGTTATTTATGCACTTTTTAATGTACAGTAGAACCACACTAATCCGTCACCTACGGGACTGGAAGCATTGTCGGGACAGCAAAAAGGTCAAATTATCAAAGGAACGTGTTTATTGATATAAAAACAAAACATAGTAAAACTGTATTTTGATTTTGAACACATCAATCCATTTCCAACATGACATTAAACAGTCATTACTAACTCATAAACAATGTGTTTTACTATTATGTGCATATTACATCATTAAAATACAATTAGGCTAGTAGGCTATTGCACAATCATGATAACTATGTTATGTCATTAACCTTGGTTTCCAAACCTTTACTCAAGCAGGCAAATTGCCAAACATTGTACAGCAAATAAAGAACAGAATAATAGAAAGTCTAGTAAGTTACTGCTAGTCATAGGCTACTGCTATTCTGTTTCAGGACAGAAGAATGTCGATAAAAACATGAAATAACTCATAAAAAAGTATAAAATAATAGTAGCCTACTTATAGATAATAACAACAGCCGTAAAATACACCGATAAAGATAACAATGACATAAACAGTTTACTTATTTACCAACCTTGGTTATTTTGCATGTAATTATATTTTGTAAATGTATTTTTTTGATGTACCCCTTGAGGGAAATCAAAAAAGAATGATGATGATGATGATGACATAAACAGGGTGTCCAGTTTATTTACTAATAGTGAGTGTTGATACCAAAATGTATCAATTCTCGTTTCTTGATACTGATAACAATTTTTATTTATAGTTTAACCAAATTTTCTAAATATAGTAGAACCTCTGTAATCCGAACCCCTGTAATCCGAACGTCCACTAATCCGAACGCCTCATTGCTGTACTCTATACACAGTATAGTAGCTCTTTATTGTAAACTGTATTTATTGATATACGCACCGTAATAATTTTAATTGTAATGTACAGTACTTTTTTTTCCCTATGTTTACTGCTGTATTAAATAAACACTGTATTTTACTTTATAAAGCATTTTACACTTTTCCCTAGCTATTGTTATGTAAAAACAACAATATGTTCTGTAATCCGAACTACCCCCGGTCCCAATTAGATCGGATTAAAGAAGATGTCCTGTAATTTGGTTGTACTACACACACCCTATAAAGTATTAATAAGATAATGGTGACAAGATGCAGCAATGACTAGGTATGTAGCAACTAGCCAAATAGGTTTTTTTTTATCATGAAATCTTCCGCGGACGTCATCTTTGTCGTTTGCGATCGTGGCAAAATCATGAATATTTCCCGTGGGCGTGTAGTTATCATCGTCGTGTCCCACGGTCACGGAAACGTCATCGTCGTCGTCTGTGATCGCGTCAAAATTATGATCATTTCCCGCAACCGTGTAGACATCACCATTGGCTCTGGTGGTGACGGAAACGTCATCTGCGATCGCGGCAAAATCAAGTACATTTCCCGCGGCCGTGTGGACGTCATCGTCGTCTCTTGCGATTTTGGCATAATTATGAACATTTTCGCGGCCGTGTAGACATTATCATTGACCCCCGCGGTCACGGGAACGTCATCGTCGTCATCCGCGATCGTGGCAAAATCATGAACATTTCCTGCAGCCGTGTACCGTGGTCACAGAAACGTCATCGTCATCGTCCGTGATAGCGGCAAAATCCTACTTTGACAGTTCTCATTGCATATAACGGATTTTTGTTGATGCTTAGTTCAAATTAGCTGTTGTCATGAATGCAAAAAATAGTGCTGCACCCTGTTGGTGAACCTTATAACCTTTTAATGCTATTGCATGTCATAGAACCGACTTAAATAATTGAAACAGCTGACTAAATTTTTAAATTCCTTTTAAATATGAATACTCATAAGGTTAACATGGGAAACTCCAGAGCCACTGGGGCGGAGCCCGAAAGGATTTTTGAGATAAGAATAGGCCTATATATTAATTGGGAATGTCAGCTATCATCATGCCAAATTTTAGCCCAATCCATCGAGTAGTTTAAGCATGATTGAACTTCAAACAAACAAATAAACACACAAACTTTCACATTTATAATATTAGTAAGATTAGTTAGTATGTGTATATATATGTGTCCGTTAGCACGATAACTCGAGCAAAAATGATCCGATTTTGATGAAATTTGGTGTACAAGTGTAAACCTACATTTGTTCAAACTAGTTCGCGAACCAGCTTGATCGGACTATGGGAACGGGGGCTTATGGGGTTTTTATAGGGTTAAAAATTGGTTTTTCCTATTTTTGACCTAAAAAACATAACATTTAGCAATTTCTTTCCAAACCATTTTGTAGAGCTTAAAAACGAAATAATTTAGTATATGGAAGCGTTATTATGCGCCTAATAAGTAATAGTTACTGAGAAAATTCAAAAATATTATAATTTTAAAATTCCCACGTTTAGGGGTGTGCGATGCAGCATATTTTTTTCGATTCGATGCATCGATGCGATTCAAAGAATTTCGATTCGAATCGTTGCGATTCGATTCGATGCATCACGGCATAATTTTCTTCAAAAATTAAATACAATATGTGTTTCTGTAATGGATCCTTTACCTTAAAAAAGTTAAAGTAAAAAATGTACTAAATAAAATTATGAACAAGAGGATAGTTGCTGACCTAACCTCATTAATGGACACTGCTAATTTTATGGTTTGCCTAAGGAAATTCACCCTTCACTAACAATTAGAATAAGCCTATATCAATGAAGCAATCGTTAAGTTTATTATTATTGACCTGTATTAAATAAAATAGAGTTTATTTTATGATGTACAGGTAGTATTGTTACTTAGTTTTCACATTTATATTTGTTGGCTTTCAATACTTTTGGTTCATACTTAAATCAGCATGAACCAAAAAAGTTGATAATCAGTGTTTACTACTACAATCGGATCTTAGGCTGGATCCGGTTTTAATGGATCCGATTTTATTTATACTAGGGATGGACGAGATTGGATTTTTAGTTCGAGACGAGACGAGACGAGATTTTTTATTTCTCATAAAATTTTGAGACGGGATTTCCCTTCTCATACACAACGGGAAATGCACGCTCAAAATTTTTACCTGATTTTGTAACATTGTTAGATGACTGTTTAAATAAAAAAATAATGATAATAGGCAATATTTACAATCTTTTATTAAAAAACATAACATTTTTTTATTAATCACGCCTAAGTTATTAAAAATGCCTACGATTAGGAAACATAGTGATATCAGTTAGGATAGAGTTAAACTTATCCTAAAATAAAATAAATCCTAAAATAAAAGCAAAATAAATATTTATAAAATAGTTGGTACTTGTTTTGACTTTTTATAGTAATAAAACATTCCTCACACTGCTTACACTTAACAAAACTTCTCAAATGTTATTAAAGTAATATTATTAAAATAATTAAAGCAATATTTACATTTAAAGAATTAACTCAATAAGAACGCCTTCGCAAAGGAAACGCAACTACAACACGCTCCTGTATTCCGGGTATTGCATTGACTTTCTGCAGGCGTTTTTATTTATTTTTATTTTTTATTCTCGTCTTGATAAAAATCTCGGCCAAAAAGAAATCTCATCTTGTGTAACGAGATTTAAAATTTCCCGAAATTTCAAACTTGACCATCCCTAATTTATACTATTAACACTAAATGGGCGAGTATTCGAGATTTTGAGTTCGAGTAGAGTACGGCCTTGAAACTCGAGCTTATCTTTGAACTCGCTAGTTTGGTACTGTACTTAAATCCAAACCAGCTAGTGTTGTGTTAGTTTGAATTGGTTTCTTTAATTGTAAGATCAATATTTGTTGAAATGTAACTTGTGTTTACATAAAATGATGGCTAATTTGTATTACTGTAGATTCTACAGTCATACAAATATAGAAATAAGCAAGAGGTAGTTGTCCTAACCTATTTTTATAGCTGGCACGACAGAATAGTTCAACTCAAAGCAGTCGCCGGCGACTGACTGGCAATGGTATACTGACTTGACACAGAATAGAATGACATGATCGGTAGTGATTTTGTTTTAAAGTAGGCCTAGTGTTTCACAATAGAAAATTTGACTACTGAACTGTTACGTAAGCAATAAATTTATGTTTATAAAAGTCAGAATAGAAACACTATAAAGGCAAAACAATAGAAGGGAGGCAGGCGTTGTGCAATGACCTCGAAATGAGCGGAATAGTAACATTGAGTAGGGGGTTGGAAGGGGGGGAAGGGAAGGGTGAGACCTTTGAGCTATATTTAGACTAGACTTTCACCACTTCCCAAATGGCTGGGTATGGGGATTACAATAGCAGGGTTTTTCCTTGCCTGGTTTGACTTTTGTCTTTTTGTGTAGGAGATTTGAATAATCAAAAATATAATTTGAATTGACCACAATTATTTAGCATTGATAATACAATTTGCAAGGGACCAGGAGGAAATAGAACAAAACACTTAAATTAATAGAATAACACACAAAGTAAACAAGAAATTAAATACAGAACATGGTGATTTAACACTGTCACTGTCACTCAATTTTGTTGTCTAGAAGGGTCGGTGAAC